CCACTGCACTCCAATCTGGGTGACAGAGTGAGACTCCAACTCAAAAAAAAAAAAAAAAGGCTGCAAAGATAAAACAAAACAGCCTGGGCATGGTGGTTCACGCCTATAATCTCAGTACTTTAGGAGGCCAAGGCAAGAGGATTGCCTGAAGCCAAGGTTTGAAACCAGCTTGGGCAACATGGCAAAACCACATGAGATCTCATAGCTATAATAATCCAAAAAATCAGTGGGGTGTGGTGGTATGTGCCCGTAATCCCAGCTACATGGGAGGCTAAGGCAGAATGATTGCCTAAACCCAGAATGTTGAGACTGCAGTAGCCATGATCATGGCACTGCACTCCAGCCTTTTCAACAGAGTGACTCTGACTCAAAAAAAGAAAGAAAAATGTAGAAAAACTAATAAACAAATGGAAAGACAAGTTTATGGATCAAAATAGCTGATATTGTTAAAATCCATACTTCCCAAAGTGATCTACAGCTTCAGTGCAATCGCTATCAAAATTCCAACATCATTTTTATGGAAATAGAAAAAAAAAATTCTAAAATGCATATGGAACCACATGCAAATATAAATAGCCAAGGTAATCATGAGCAAAAAGAACAAAGCTGGAGGTATCACACTACCTGTAACTATAACATATGGTAGTTAAAACAACATAAAATTGGCAAAAACAGCAACAACAAAGACACATAGACTAATGGAATTTCTATTCCGATAGAATTCCAGCTTCTCGGAAGGCTGAGGCGGAAGGATCACCGGAGTCCAGCAGGTTGAGGCTGCAGTGGCTGGGAGCAGGAGCCTAAATGATTTTCAACAAAACTATCTAGAAGACAAAGACAACCTTTTCAATAAATGATGTAGAGGAAACTAAATTTTCACATGCAGAAGAATAAAATTAGAATCTTATCTCACATCATATACAAAAATCAACTCGAAATGGATTCAATATTTAAATGTAAGACCAGAAGCTCTAAAACTACTAGAAGAAAACTTAATGGGAAACCTACAAAAACTCTGGGTGATAATTTTTTGGATTTGATCCCCAAAGCATGGGCACAAAATTAAATATAGACAAATGGGATTATTTCAAACGAAAACATTTCTGTGCAGCAAAGGAAAAAATCAACACTGAAGAGACAATATACAGAATGGGAGAAAATATATGTAAGGCATACATCTGGTAAGGGTTAATATCCAACATGCATTAAGGAGCGCAAACAACTCAATAGTAAGAAGACAAGCAAAATAAAAATATAGGTAAAGCCTTGTTAGTAGAGTGCTAAATAAAATTTAATTTTTTTTTTGAGCTGGAGTCTCACTCTGTTGCCCAGACTGGAGTGCAGGGGCCGCTCCCAGCCACCGCAGCCTTCCAAGTAGCTGGAACTACAGGCACGCACTACCACGCCTGGCTCATTTTTGGATTAATTGTAGAGGTGAGGTCTCGTCAAGTTGCCCAGGCGGGTCTCGAACCCGCGGGCTCAGGCAATCCACTCACCTCAGCCTCCCAAAGCCTCCA